ACATACATGCAAGTCATTTTCAAATGTTTTAAAAGAGTCATTTTGTCTATACTGACCAAATTGGTTAATACAGTCTTGCCACAATAATCAACATTTTTGAGTGATTTGCATCTCTCAAAAATGTGTTCGCCAATTTGAGTGAGAGTAGTTGGCATTGTCACTGAAATCAAATTATCACCAAAAAGGGAGTCTCCAATTTCAATAACATTTCCCAAGTCTATTTTTTCAAAATCCGTGTTAGAGAAAAAGTTACTGTTTATTTTCGTGACATTCTGTGGAATTTTTATGTATTTTGGATCAGGAGAATTTCCATACAATTGGCCTTTTATTTCAACAATTGTTTTGCATTTTTCAATTTGTTTAAATAGATACAATCGCTTACTTTGCCAAAAATCAAAAATAACTTTTTCATATGTATACCCAAACTTATCTAAGAGTTTTGTTTCGTATGAAGTTGGTACATATGTTATTTTCATGTTATTATTTGGAAGTACAAGTTTTGTTAAAGATGAACACATTTCAAGGCACCCACTTTCTAGTGTTGCGTTTGGACCAATGCTTATTTCTTTGAGTTGTCGAAAATTAGTAAAATAATTTGAAGTTATTGTTGTCACTTTATTAATGTTAAATATAACGCAAGTGTTTTCAAATAAATGATAATTGTACGCTTTGTCAATTTCTTTTCTTGTCACGTATTCCTGGTAATTATTATTATGAACAAAATCATTAAAAATGTATTGTTCATATAAAATTTCAATTTCGTGTTATTGTATTAATATGTTACGTTTATGCGTATTATTTTAAATAACTTTAATAATAAAATTATTAATATATATAATTTTTATGTACTAAAAACGGAGCAACAAACAACATTTCCAACATCTAGAGTCTCACATTCGTTATTAAAAAGAATATCAATATATTTGTGTATATCATATTTGTTATAAAACTTGCTGATGATATTTTCCTCCTGTTTTGACACTTCTCCAATAAGTTTTCCTTTCAATGTTGGAAGCACAAGTTTGGTTATAGAAACGCAATTAAAACACGTGTTAAAGCCAACATCACAATTTTCACTAAAAACGAGTTCTTTCAATTTTCTACAGTCAGAAAAAGCGTTACATTCAACTATATAAACACTTTTTGGTATTTCGATGTGTTCCAAATTTCTACAATTATCGAAAGCACCATTTTTTATTATTAGCAACTTTTTTGAGAGAACAACTTTGGTCAAGCTATAACATTTTTCGAATGCTGAACATCCAATTATTACAACATTATCAGAAATAACAACTTCTCTAAGTTGTGAACAATATTTGAATGTATCACTTTGAATAACATCTAATTCTATTGGCGAAGTAAAATGTTCTATTCCGCATCCAGAAAACGCACCACCACCAATTGAAGTAATTGTAGATGGTAAGTCAATCGTTTTAAGCTCTTTGCAATTGTTGAAACAATTTTGTGGAATACTTTTGATGCCTTCACACAAAGACACACTCTCAAAATGTAAAACATCCCTATCAAACCATGGGCCCAAAATTTCAGTTACATGTGATGGAAAAGAAAAATGTTTGAGTTTAAAAGTATCGATATACTCGATATCATATTGATTGATACTTTTGTTTTGGAGAATTACATTAAACTCTTCTATATTTGGGTTTGGGTCATCAACATTTTTAGTGATTTGAATGTTCTTGTAAACGTATTTTGAATCATTCAATCTGTTTTTTATGTCGTGATAGTTTGCAGTGTACCACACAACATATTTCTGCATATCGGGGAGTTCAACATCTTTTTCTGTGTATAAATGTTGTGTCTCCATGTACGGAAATAGTCTGTTGGAAGTCACCGAAATTGGGTTGTATTGAAATCTGTCCAATATACATGTAAATTTCTTACAAATGAGGATCGAGTTAATGAAATCGTCTTCAAAATAAAAATATTTCACAACAATTTGGAAGTTAAAAGCATCCAATGTAATATACATTTTTGGTGTTTAAAGATTCATTTAAAATTATCAAATAAATAATTTAATCAAAAAATTACAATTAAAAATTATTTGATAAATAAAAATAATTAAAACTGCAAACCTCAATTGAACAACGAATATTTTTAAAATAACAGTTTTAAAACTATTGATTGAATTTGGCATATGAACCATTTAAAATAATTATAGTTAATAAATAATAGATATAATTTAAAATCGATTAATATAATAATTATTATAAATTAAACAAAGATAGCCACAATCAATTTGATGATAAAAAAATTTAAAACGAAATAATTAATAACTTCATTTTAACACTTAAAAACCATTTCCTCTTTAAAGTGTGTCCTAATATTCTTTTAATTTTTCGGAAATTGACCACTTAAAGGGGGATAAAAACCGCTTCCGCTTAAAACCGATTCTTCAAAAAA